ATTGCTTTTACTTTTATACCATGGTTTCACTAAGGATCCTTCTTCTCTATCTTCTTCTCAAAGGGATTCTAACCCCGAGACTTCTTCAAATACAATTTAGAGAGTTTGACAGACCCAAAAAACATACCAGAATTTAGCTAATATCCAATTATACAGACTTTATATATAAAAAGGTGTCTGCTTACCTTATTCTTGTCAAACAGGTCCCAAGGACTGTCCGAGAGGTCTGACAACCTCTTTTCCGCGTCTGAATATTCAATTTAAAAAACAAAAGTGACAGAGCGACAAGAAGCATGCAGGAACAGCTTTCCCAGCCTGCTGGAATCTCTGCTCCCAGACGCAGCATGCCGGTCTCTCACGCCGAGGAAAAGAGAGATAACACACAGGACTTATTTGGGTAATGGTTAATGGTTAACTTTATCGCCGCTGCCTGCTTATCAAACTAGGGCAGAAGCCACCGCTTGGAAAGAATGAATAGTTACTTACAAAGAATGAATAGTTTCTTCAACTAATAATGATTCTGAACTTGAAAAATTTACAAATATTTTACAAAGGAATAAGTATACAAACCTTTTTACCACTTAAACCTACTACTCCTACTACCACTTTTTATGTACATACATATAAATGTAATTATTGAATTTCTTACGCTAATTACTTAAGACTATTTATCAAAAATAACCAGTTCTTTGAATTAACACGTTTTTTGTTTCTTCTGACGCTGAAAAAATCTCTAAAACAGCGCATACTACAATCGTTTTTTAAATTCTACTTCTGCCGAAAAAACCTCGAAAAACGGCTTCTATCTACTTTTACATTCTTCTCACGCCGAAAAAGCCTGAAAACGGCGGCGATCCTTTTATAAAAAATGCGCATATATATATTTACAATATAAACAGGAATCATAAAAGAGCCAGTCTCAACCACATTGACATTTTTTGATGTAAGACCAATTTAACAGATTTTTAGAAAAGGCATCTGTAATTTCCTTGAGTAGATCTACTTTGTACCTTTGTGGTGGAGCTGTCTCTTTTACGGAGACTTCTGCAAAACCAGAGAAGATGAATCGCTGTCCGGAGCAAAAAAAAAAAAAATGTGTTTGAAAAAATAAAAATAATTGTCTTTGTCTTGGGCCTTTTGTATCACGTCGGGGTCACCAAAATGTGAATATACCCAGACATAAGACAAATAGAGGCTTCGACAAAAGTGCAAAATAAAGTTTTTATTATCAGAAGGTTTGAGCGTATTCTGATCAAGCACAACGCAGCTTCCCCTTCTCTGGCCTCAGAAGTCTGTCGTACAATCACAGGGGAGCTCCTTATATACACCAGAAAATGTTTAGGTCAGCATAGACTTTAAAAGCATGACTATGTGGGAAGTAAGCGTATGGTTTCAAAGTTGCGTAACGGACCAAACTCCAATGTACATGAGATAGCATTATCTCATGTTATGTACATCAACACCTTATCTGCTCCATGCTTCTGTAAGCAGTCCAAAGTACAGGTGTTATGTCTCTACTGAACTATTTAACATGATATTTTAAACAGCAAATAGTAATTAAATATTCACATGTTCTTTAAACTTGGTAATATAACAAAACAATCTAATGTCATAAACGCAAGCCTTTATGTTGAAACACTGCAAAAAGTGATGAAAAAGAAGAAAAAAAAATTCTCATATTTGGCAAAAAATGTCTTAATTTGAGCACATTCTGACTGCCTTAAAACAAGATTCACCAAATGGGACCTGGAGCAAAATGATCTTGTTTTAAAAAGATACAAGAAATGACTCCCTTGGAATGAGGAAATAAAGCAACAGCTCTAGATAAAGGACTAAATGGCTTTTGTCCCATTGGCGAATCTTGTTTTAAGTCAAAATGAACTCAAATTAAGATTTTTTGCAGTGTAATTATGGCTCACAGCTTGTACAAACCCCCAAATAAAACTTCTCAGAAAAATAGACTATTTTGAAAATGGACTGTCCCCCATACTCGTCAAAATTATAACATTTATCACTTGGCATATATCACTTGTAATGAGTTTCCAGCTTCAGGCTTTTCTCTGTGGAGTTTGCATGTTCTGTACAATGGGATTGAAACGAATGAGAGAATGAACGGAGAGTGTGAAGGTGTTTGGCGTCTCGCTTCTGTCATCACGCGTGTACAGTGAATGAGAAATAGCGATACACCGAAATTGTAAAGCACTTTGTGTCACCTAAGTCTGTGAAATGCGCTACATGAATTACTATGTATTTCCTACTATATAAAGGTTTCACATTTTAAGTTGAATTACAGAATACAGAGTTTCACCTGCATATGCCAGCTTTCTTCTTCTAAACTAAACTAAAAATAAATTCAATCAATTTTAAAATATATGCGACCCCCTAAATGAGCCTGCAACAACAATTGCACCAGTAGTAGCCTGGTCTCAGCCATCCGTAAACTCCAAGCCCCGGTGATCCAAGATGGCGCCCTATTCAAATGAATGGTTGTGCTCAGTGGCGCTTTGTGCCGGCACGGTCGCTGACATATTAGCAGAACTTGCAAAGATCCATGGGAAACTTGCCTGTATTTGGGCATTGTCTGGTCCTCCCGGTTCTGCGCAGTGGATTAACTCCCAAGATGCGTTGCGCTATCTCCCATGAAGCGTTGCGCCATACACACGTGTGATGGTCTCACGCACGTGCACAGAGGTCCTCGGCCGCGCTCTGACCAATCAGAGCAGTTCATCAGAGCGGGAGTTAGAGCGAGAGCCAGACGAGCAGAGTTTGTGGCACTAAAGTGTGGATTTAAAGAAAACCGAAGGATTTAAGAAGAAAAAAAGTTCAGGATGACAAGGGACACTAAAATCCCCACAAAATCCGACCTTTATGAAAGCTGTAGGTTATCTGTCAGCTGAGGCTGCGCTGTTTTGATTTACATTGAGTTCTATGGGGAAAATTTCTGGGTAACCCACGTGAATTTTGTCTGGTTCAGTCTGCAGTACCGCAAGAATCCCCCGAGCTCATGGGTTCTTCAGCTCCAAGCTAGTAATACCATATCCAGTTATTATAATAGATCCATGGTAAACTCCGGTCCATGATCATTTCCTACATGTACGACTGGGTCTGATCCTAGTGGCTGCAGGTTCCTCAGTTGAATCCCCTCCAACCAATTAGGGAGCGGGGGAGGCGGGTGTTGTTGGGAGGTGTCAGTGACGTCAAGAGTTTGCGCCGGTTGTAGTTTGGCAATGGCGACGGTGATAGTAAAGTTTTTCGTCCTGATTTGGCTCCAAATATTGAATTGAAGCCGGTGCAAGAGGAATGTTTAGCAAGTTTCATTGCAGCAAGGATGTTGTGGCTCTTCTCCCCACGGGCTTCGTTAGTGGCGAAGGAGATGGCTAAAGCTAGGCTAAATGCTAAAGCTAGGCTAAATGCTATGGGAGCAAACCCCTCCCACCTGTTAACGGAGCTCAATGGAGCAAACCCAGACCTTAGTACCAGGGACGTGCGGTGAGGTTTGTGATTGGGGAGGCACTGACTTTAAAAGTCAGATTTACAATCATTATTCAAATAAAATAGCATTTAATCACCAATGCAATGACATCCACAAACTTTATATACTGTAAAGATAAGAGAACCAGCTTCTTTTAATAATCTCACAACAAATCTAGCTGCTGACTCTGCTCCGCATCAAACAACATCTTTAAGAAGCGCAGGTGCGAGAGACGCGAGGAGAGAGAGACGCGAGGAGAGAGGAGCAGAGAGAGACAGAGAGGAGCAGAGAGACGGAGACGCGAGGAGCAGAGAGACGGAGACGCGAGGAGCAGAGAGAGACGGAGACGCGAGGAGCAGAGAGAGACGGAGACGCGAGGAGCAGAGAGAGACGGAGACGCGAGGAGCAGAGAGACGGAGACGCGAGGAGCAGAGAGAGACAGAGACGCGAGGAGAGAGAGACGCGAGGAGAGAGGAGCAGAGAGAGACAGAGAGGAGCAGAGAGACGGAGACGCGAGGAGCAGAGAGAGACGGAGACGCGAGGAGAGAGAGACGCGAGGAGAGAGAGACGCGAGGAACATAAACAATAATTTAAACAAGTTGCAGAACTCTTGAGCAGTGTTTGAATCAGTGTTTTTCGGAAAAGCACTACTTTGCCGGTATCTGTCAATGTTCAACATAAAACACAGATTAACAAACTCCTCCCCCGCAGCCGGACTAACCTCGTAAGTCCAGTGGTGGTCTCCCAGTCTATATTAATTCTTTCTTTGTTTGAAAGTCCAATTGAGAAAAAAAATCTTCATTCAAATCATCCATTTTCCAGCAAAAGAAATAGCATTTTGGGCTGATTGTTTGTTAGCAACTCTGGTATGAACTTTATGCTCACTATCACCCCTAGCGGTGAGGCACAGATACCGCCTGCCTCACGCCAAGCTTTTTCCTTGTGTGTTCATCTACGATCAAAAGACTTAAACTAAATATAAATTGTACACACATACGTGCAATACACTACTAAACACTAAGAGGAGTTTAAAAAATGTTTTTAAAGCAGGATATTTGAAACAAACGGTGATATATCAACTGCACGAGCTGAGTGCACTCAGACACACACACACACACTGTGAGGGAGCGGTCTGGGGTGAGGCACGCAGGAGCGCTGCCTCACCTCGTCTCTTTGAATAGGAATAACGGGATTTCGGCGATTTTGACTTCAGAAATGATCAAAACTGATGGGAACCGTGCCGAATATACATTAAAAGCATAGGACAGTGGATATAAATTATATATTTAAACTAAAATAATTATTAGTTTCCAATAATGGCAGGTGAGGCTCTGCCTCCCCTGACTGCACGTCCCTGCTTAGTACAAAATGAAAGGAGTACAATGGTAAGACCAGGCTACCAGTAGAGATTCACGGCTATTAAGCATTCCTTAGCTTAAAAAACCATTGCCTGGCTGATCTTTACAGACCTAATAACTGTAGCTTTTATATTCACCTTGGCTTTAACAACCCATTATGTTTTTTTCAGGCCGTCAACGGAGTCTCCAACAAGAGCCCATATCCCGCCCAACAACTGTCAATCAACATTACGACCAATCAGGCGGGTGAGTGCGAATCATGTATGTTTGTGTGCGCATATCCATGAGAGGGGCTTCGGCTGGGGGGTTAAATGAGACGAAACCGAGCCGTCTTTTCATTCATAAAACATGGTGGAGGCTTGTCATCTCCTTCTGTTTTCTGAGCACATTCAAAGCTTTCATCTTCCTTCGCTCTCCGCCTCTGTCCCCTCTGCTGCTCCTTGACAGAGTAATTCTTACAGACTATAAAGTGAGCTGACTTACTACCCCATCAATACTTAATAGCGACAGACACAAGTGAGATTTCCAGCCACTTTCCAAATTTAGATTTAAGGGGTGCTTTGCGGTAGATCATCTCAGCTCATCCACGACCATACATTCTATCTACGCCCATCCCGCAAATATGTACTGCAGTAAATATTTCCTGCTTGCACAATCTTCAGAAAATCGTTATTGTCTGAATGAGCAATAATGCAGTAGATTTAGCATGCTTTTTTTTCACTTGAGAAAAGCAAATTGCCTAAAATATCACAAATCCCAATAGTGTCTGTTCAGCTGACAGCTAGTTTACATTCTGACAGCACAAAAAGACTTACAATTCTCATAGCATTAGAAGGGATTATATCTGTCCCATGGTGTTGGATGACTCAGGCAGGAAACTCACAACATTTATGCCTCGTTAAAAGAAAAGTAAGTTAGACACTTTGACTGTTTTAATTATCGGTGTTGGGAAAGTAATTAGTTACAGTTACTCATAGCTTCTCCCAAAAAAGTGATTGCTTTAGTATCTGTTTTACGGACAAAAGCAAGTAGGCGTATAATAAGGCCTATAATAATAATAGGGGTTAATAGATATTAATAATAGGGGTTAAAAAAACAAACAAAAAATTACATTGCTTTCTTCAAAGAGTGAATGTTAAAAGGTTAAACACAATTAGATCCACACACACATGCGCACACACACACACACAAATACGCAGACTTTTGTCAGGAGAACATTGAAGCTCATCGGGCCCTGCACATCTGCATATGATCCACAAACTCCAAACTTGTGTGTGACTCCTGCTGTTACCTCCTGCTTTTACTCGCTTTACTGTTATTTTCCTCTGGTGACACTGTGACATATTCCCAAAATACATGTTTGTTATGTTCAGGATTGGAGTGGAAAAAGTGCATGTGCTTAAAGCCAAGGAAATCACAATAAAGTAGTTCAGCCACTGCCTGCTTCTTCTGATTAGTCGAATGTAATGTCAATGAATTTCCAATGAGCATATTTTCATTTCAAAATCCATGAAAATGAAAACATGACGGTTCTTATGAATGACAGAGCACTGCACAATGTAATACACATTTAGGCAATGAATAATTCAGTTATGACATGCTATTTTTCACATGCTGTGAGTACAAACATCTCCCTGGAACACACAGACTCCGCCTTAGCATTACACCAACCATCCTTTAATCAGTCAGTTGTTTGTTTTGCTAAATATTATAATTATTATCAGACTAAATTTCACAATAAAACCACCCATTTATCATCAAAGCCTCTACATTCATTTTGGTCGGGGGCAAAATTAAAAGACATAAGAGCTGGTTGGGGCCAGATGTATCCTGGGTATAGAATTTTTTATTATTTTTCTTTTTTACATGTTTATGGCTTGACAAATATTGTTTGGTTTGGATTCAACCACAATGGTGCCAAATATCAATAATATATGGGAAGAAATGAACTAACCACACTTCTAATTACATGTTAGATAACATTTTACTGTAGAACACATTATATGGCTGATTTTCTGAGACAATAGACCTTAAAATTAAGTATAACATGCCATAGCCCCTTACCATCAATGCTGCAAGTTACTGTGATAACGATAATTCAAAATCATTTCAAATTTTCTCGCGGGATTGAGTTTGACAAATCTGCTCTCTACATCATCAACCATTTCATATTATTTGCACATTTTAATAATAATCTTGATTATCACATTAGATAAAAAACACAATGTGCATCTAACTCACAGACCTCAGTCGTGATTGTATTTTGTTTTCTTTCGCGTCACTGTAAATCTGAGCCTCCTGTGTAGTAAATAATCCTGTATACTTAAATCCTCCTAAATGGTTTCCTGTATAATTGATTGTGTGCATTGCGTGCGTGTTTAACAGCCCCCTCGGTCGTTCCCATCATGCACCAGGTGAGCTCGACCAGCCGCAGCTTCTCGTTGTCATGGCCACCGCCGGAACAGCCCAACGGCATCATCCTCGACTATGAGATACGCTATTATGACAAGGTAGGGCACGACATTCATTTCTGATTTGTGTTCCCAGGCAAATAATGTGAAATATGGCTTTCTTTCATTTTAATCCACATTATTCCTATACCCTGTGACTGACAGACAATCAATAATGCGACCTCAGTGTGTGTGTGTGGGGTTGGGGGGATTTGTAATGGCAGATGATGATTTGAATGATTAGGCGTGAATCGCTACTGTTCTAATCTATGCTTAATAAATATGAGAAAATACATGTTACCTCAGTGGATTTTGTTGTAAAGATGCTTCAATTCCCATCCAGGCCTGATTGACAATGACAGATGGATGAGTACTTTTAAATCTTGCTCCGTGTCGAGCTAATCTCACTGGTAAAGTACCATGTGGCCACAGAACTAAAAAAGGTCTTGTTGTGATTCTCAAATGATTAACGACAAAAAACGGATCAAAACAAGGATTTATATTGAGGCCTTTGCGAAAAAGGTGTTGTTTATAGATTTGTTGTTGACAAAACTCTTGCATATTCAGCTGTTATGGTCTCAGCTGGATTCGTCTGCATATCTGGCAACCTGAGTCAGGGAGAGGGAAAGAGGTTGCAGTATCACTTTTTGCCATATTTTTACATATTGCTCTTTTAGGGATCAATGATCAATGTAAGATTTATTTAAAAGTATTGTAGTTGGGAGTCCTTGTTTGTGTTGTAGGCCCTAGTGCCAGCTTCATCAACACACACAAAAAACAGAACATTTACACAACAATTATTTTTTTTTCTCATATTCTGTTTTAGACCATGCTCTGTCTCCAAGATACAAGAGGTCCATTCAAGTCAACGGCCTGAGCTCTTTGGCACAGGCTCCAAGTTGACATTTGTTGCACAATAGTTTTTTAATCATAGAAAACCAATGGATTTCAAATGAAAAAAGTTCATCATGACAAAAAAAACTAAAATCCACACACACAAAAAACGACCTTTGGGTTCGTGAAAGGTGTAGGTTCCTCGTCATCTATTGTGAGATCAATAAAGTGTATCTCATCTTATCTTTTGGTAACATTAAAGTCTATGGGAAAAAGAAGTATGTATATCTTACCCATTACTGAAAGGGATTTAGGCTAACAATACCCTATCCAAATATTAGAACAGACCCTGAGACACAAAACAAAAGTAAAAACCTAGATGAATTAGCAGATGTTATGAATTATTCTCAAAGCTGCCACATTACCAGTAATGTACATACATGTAAATGCACTTTTCTGCTCGTAAGTCTGTAATTGACTGGAGGCAACTGTAAATCCTGATACAAACATGTTATGACAGATTAACTTGTCAGCTCCTATACGCGTTACATTCCATTGTATATAATTAATAACTCAAGTGTCGTCCGCATCTGTCACATTGTCATCTTGGCGTACACTTTGTTGTTAAGTGTAATTTGCTCATAAGTCTGCGTGGTGAAGGCATCATTCACACACCATTCATTCACACAGACGCCGCTTGATATTGATGCCAACCTCCACTTTTTATCTATTTGTCTAGAGCAAAATGAGGAGCAATTTGTTACAATTGATGATAAAAGAATAGCACACTACATCAGAAAAGAACTCTTCATTGATGTTATATTGAGTCATGTGTCGTGTGGTTGAACATAACACAATTAAACAGACCCCAGAGCTCTGCAGGGAAGTCAATGAAACCCACTTCATAATTGATTAAGTAACAACAAGACTGTTGTGCCAGATTCAATACACCGCCAAGGACTTTGCTAATGCTTATCATAACATGACCAGGACATTGCATGACATTGGAAATTGTTATGGTACAAGCTGTAATGTCAATATGTATTCAAAACAGTTTATATACAGGTTTAAACTTGTAAAATTAGTCGTTCAATAGTCCATTTATTTAATTCACTAATTCAACTTACATTGCGAAACTATGACAGACTCATTACACACAAAGTGAGAAATATTGAGCCTTTACTTGTTATAAAGTGGCTCACAGATTGTAAAAAAACCCCAAACAAAACATCAGAATATTTTGAAATTCAAATTATAACCAACAAGGTCTTGACAAATATAACTTTGCTTATTGTGAGTCTATATAATGAAATGCTTTCACTCTTTCAGTTGAAAAAAAAAAATCCCTTTTGAACAATATTCTAATTTTCAGACTTTCACTTGAAAACCTAGACGTGCATTGGTAACATTAGGTAATACCTTTGCATCCGACTCTCCCAATGCTGCTCAGTAAAGAACATTTTCTGTTATTTTTGTTGTTAACGTTGGCATACAAAATGTACTCTGCACCAGTAATTCCCAACTTGGAGGTCGAGATCAATGTTGTGGATCCCCAGAGATTCCCAACGCAGGCTGCTAACAGAATATATTATTATAAAACAGGTGAAAACAAAATTACAATTTTATTTTCCCACAAGTGAACCAGACTTGGTCCAGTTTAAGTGAATTTAAAGAGCGACTAAACACCTGTGCCCAGCCTTACTCCGCCCACATGAAGATTTGAAAATTTTCTCTAAAAAGGGCGTTGCCTGGAGGACCAAGGGACAAGAAGGGGGGCTTAGAGTTGGGCGTGGTCTGGGCTGTGATTGACAGCTCACTTGTCACACAAAAAAAAACAGACAGTTGTCATTGCTGCTTAAAGCAATAGTTTACAGACCAGAAAGTCTCATTCCACCCTTGTTTACACACTAAGATAATTGTAAAGCTACACACCTGAACCTAATCACACACAATAATCTCAGAATGACTCATGTAATTTAATTTTAATCCACTAGATGGCGCCAGAATACTCCAAACTGCAGCTGCGGCGTGTGTGAGAGTTGAATGGGTTCACATCACTGGCTCTGACAGACTGACGTCACACAAAACAACTGATGTCATAGAGAACTTCAGAGTCAATGGAGAGGCCAGGACCAAATTCAAATGTAGTACCACCAAAAAGGTTGAGAGGGCGCCACACAGCGTTTTTTGACTCAAAAGTGATATTTTATCTAATTTGAACTAAAATGTCAAAAAAATTACCAGGATATGTAGACAGCACTGCAATAAACATATTTATGCAGTTTATGAGTCAAAAAGTTGATTTGGTGTTTAGTCGCTCTTTAACCAACAAGTGTGAACACGCCTCAAGAGTTTGGGATCAAAGTCAACGTTGATCCTGAACACAAACACTCTGTTCCTACCGATGTGAGCACTAAAATTCACTGATTTAGTCAAGTTTAAAACTGCACAAGGTCTGTGCAAGGCAAGAAATCAGTAACATTCTGGTCACATCCAATCACCTCTGAAAGAGATGGAAAATACAATCAGAGAGGAACATTAAACTTTCAAATGAAAATTGTAAGAACAACTATGAAACATTTCTATTAGTGGACCAAGTTATGGTATAATTTACCAGAAGATTTAGACATCATATACATTACTTATGTGCTGCATAAAGTATCATAAAGAAGTGTAAAATAAAAGTTGTCTGTATAACATTGCTTTATCCCATTTTGTTTTTATATAAATAATTATTGTTTGCAAATTAGGGGTTGGGCAACATAAGCTTTTGAATTTACCTACAGTACTGCCTTTTGAACATGTTAAGGGAGCTTTGTTTATAGATAAGATAAGATAAGAATTCCTTTATTCGTCCCACAGTGGGGAAATTTCAAATGAATTGTATATATGACACATGGTTTAAAATAAATTCCCGTAACCCTAACTCCAACACATTGTGGCTTGGTTGGCTCTAACCATGATCCTGGGAAAACAACTTTGACTTTGCTCCTGGACTCTTAACTACTCGGTGATATCAGATGAATATCTTTGGCACAGCTGCAGAAGTAGACGACGTCATTGTTCACAGCTCTGTCTTGCTGAGCTCACAGATTTGTGCAGAAAACTGTGACTGGATGTAACTTGAAGAGAGTTTGGAAAGTTTGCCAAGTCTCTCTGGAGTTGCTCTGTATTTTTTCCGTAAAGCACGAAACAAAAGGGAATAGCTTCTGGAGATTCGCTCGTGGCTCGGCAGCAGATGGATAAACTCAATCTCTCTGGAAAACAATCAAGCGTTGTGGATCTACTGTTGCAGTGTTTGATTTTAAATGCTTTGTATGCTGCCTTAGAGATCTAATGAAAACCTTTATCATTTTTTCTTTGGATCGTGGCTCCACATGGGAAATGATTCTTTTGCAGCAGCAGTATTACTTATAGACTATGAGAGGGAAAATAAAACAGTGCCCTGCTGTTGAACTAGACATTCTTTCTAGAAAGTTTGTCGGGGATGTAATGATAAATTGGGAATTGTGAGGTCCCTGTTTGATGTTAAGGGGGTTGTGACCTGTCATTCTCACACCGACAGATTTTAGGGTAAACTGTAGCCTGGTCTTACCATACCATCGTACTAATTTCATTTTGTACTAATGTCTAGATTTGTTCCATTGAGGTGGGAGGGGTTAACTCCTTTTGCAGATTGAAACGATTGGATCTAATCTTTTGCTTGAACCGATTGGCCAGTTAAATTTAAGATTAAGAGATCCTTTACCCGTCCCACAGTGGGAAAATGTCAGTGTTGTATCACCAGTTACAGAACAGTAGAATGAGTGGCACACAAGAAAAATGACCAATCACTCTATGCTGTCATGGTGAGGACTTTTTGCATTATTTTGACATGGTTTTAGTTTACTTTATTTATTCTCTTTTAGTTTGAGTTTGATTCCTGTTGATTATTAGCCCTGCCCAATGTGATCCACCGGTGTCCTCTGTGTGTATTTATACCCTGTCCTTTTCCCTACTTCTTGTCCATCCATTGTCTCTACCACGTTTGTCCTGTCTAGTATTTCAGTTCTGGATTTTTGTGCTTTTTGTCACTCTGGATTTGGATTTTATGAAATTACATTTGATTTTTAGTCTTGAATTTTGGGTTCCCTTTTTCTTCATTTCCGCACGTGACATACAGTATACACTATAACAAAATACATCTCTAACTCTAGCACAAAAAGAAGCAGCACAAAATCACTATA